ACAACACTGAAAACGACAGAAGCACTGCAGCAGCAGCATAAATGGTATAGCCGTCGCGTTAACAGTAGTAGTAGTAGTAGTAGAAGTAGTAGTAGTAGTAGTAGTAGTAGTAGTAGTAGTAGTAGTAAGAACAGCAGGAGGAAGGCCAGTTTCTTGGAGGCCTCCATAGCTTGCGTAACCCGAGTGACACATTCGTCTGGTTGTTAGAGAAGGCGTCGAGATACAAAGCGCTAGATAATCAACAGAAAAGAACGCTCAGTTAGAACTTTTTGCTTGGCTTACGGGTGCCCTTCATGACTTCTTCCTCCGAATGTGGCGGGGGCGGGCGGGGTTGTAACCGTCTGCCACCGACTTCAGCTTGCGGCAGCGCGGTCACTCGTCGCCCACCCATCGCGGTCACGTGCGACACCGCGCACTGCCACACATCGGCCATGGGGAGATGGCATCTACCCAGCGGCCGGGCAGTCCTAAAACCCTAAACCCTAAACCCTAGAAGCCTAAACCCTAAACCCTAAAACTCTAAACCTTAAAACCTAAAACCCTAAACCCTAAACCCTAAACCCTAAACGCTAAAATCTAAACCCGAAAGCCTTATCGAGTGAACCACGCTGCCAGAAGAACGCGCACGTCTCTTCTTCACGACAGCGGGCTTCGCAGTCCGAGGGCTCAAGGACCTGAAATTTCGCAGGGGGTTAAAAAAAGGTCTCGGGAAGTCGGAGATTCGGGGTTTAGGGGTTTAGGGGTCTAGGGTTTCGGGGTTTCGGGGTTGGGGCTTCGGAATTGGAGTTGAGGTGTTTCTCAAACTTTGTTTTTCTGTTTTTAGGGCTTTTGGTGCGGGCTTAAGTCAAACAAGGCGGTAAGCCCTAAGCCCTAAACCAAAGCCCTCAAGCCCAACCAGTGAACTGGATTTGGGAGCGTGAGTTTTGCGGCTTGGGTTTCTTGGGCCTGATTCTCCGGGCTAGCAGTCGTTGTTGTGGTCGGCATGGCTGGGCTCAGCTTCACAGCTCTCTCGTAAAAAAAGCAGCTGAACTGAGGCAGCCTCTGCAATGTTTGCAAAGAGACAGTCTGAAGGTTCGGCCTCCAAAGCCGCCCTATTGCGAGAGTCACTCAAATTGACCACGTGCTGCTTCCAGAATGACTATAAACCTTCTTGGACCATATTGTGCTCTTGTTCTGTCTTCATTGAAATGTCCTAAGCTCTAGACACCTCTTTCCTTTCCCGCTGCCTGCTCCTCGGATTGGAAGTGGATGCCCAAGCCCCCTGCCGATGATGCGGTTCCATTTTAATAGTAAGAGTAAGAGTACTAGTAATAGTATAATTAGTCAGTCGTCGTAGCAATAGTGCTAGTGGTAGTAACAGTTAAGGGCAATGGCAATAGTAGTAGTAACAGTAGTAGCATACCTGGCGGAAGCCTATACTTACACTGTCGGCGCAGAGAAAATCAGCTTCCCAACGCTTCCTTCCACTGCCTCTTTAAACTCACAAACGCGTGCGTTGAGATGCTGACAACAAGAGACTCGAAGATAAATCGGAGACCTGGAGAACTCGCGTTGTGGGTAAGAGTTGACAATGCAGGCCTTGCAAGAGTTGCCGTGACGGGCATGTCAGCTGCCCTGTGACGATGGTGTACGGAGTCGGAATGAAGTTGTTGTCGCTGGCAGCCTGAATGGCTCATTTTTTCGGGCTTGTGGCTTATGGTCCTGTTTGCGTCTCGCAAGACAGGCGCCGCAGCAAATCTTCTCACGCTTACTCGGGAGCCCATATCATTCACAACCCCCCCCCCCCCCCCNNAAACCGGAAACCCTAAACCCAAAACCTCCACACAAAACCTACCCGAAACCAACAACCCCGAAACTCGAAACCCCGAAACCCAAAACCTACACCCAGAACCGTAAACCAATATCCCCGAAACCGTGGGCCATTAAACCCCTGAAGTCCTGAACCCTAAGCCAACACACTCTGAACCCTAAATCCAGAACCCAGAAGCTACACCCTAAA